GTGTGTGTGTGTGTGTGTGTGTGTGTGTGTGTAAATATCAGCCAAAACCACTGGTCACATTCAATCCAGCTTTGCAAATCATTTCAGTGCTCCCTCAAAATGCATTTTTGGCAAATGTATTATGGGTTGAAAAACTTTGCCACTCTAATGCTTAAACATGCAATATAAATGTATGACCAAGCATCAGTTTACATCCATAGTTATCCTGCATGACTGGCACTGAAAAATTTTACACAACTAATGTTACTTGCTTTGCAGGATTCCAAAGTGAATTAATAAAACTTTGATGTCTGGAGTATTTGTCATTGATTACACCTGGCATTAGTGCCTAGCCTCCAGCTCTGTGCATTAAGCATATAGGACTAAGTGTTTTTTTTATTTCTACCCACAGCCTCTTAAATTAAATTTATGTAGTAGATAGTGTTTTATGGTAAACAGCTGAGCAGCCACAAAGCTGAGCCGTTCATGCCTAGCATATGAGCAAAGTGGCATTCATCTGTCCCTTCCAGATGGTGTAAACAATTTTTTCTCCTACTATCCATATCTGGATAAATCAATGGGGAAGCAGGTAGTTCAGGTGCCCTACCAGCTTTTATATATTTCACAAAATCACTGTTTTGCCTGAGGCATTAAAATAAAGTATAGTGACATTAACAGACTGAAACTAAAGCCGCTACATTAAACATTTTAAATTAGTTAAGTCAGCAATGATGCTGAATACTTGACACCTATATAATTTTCTTTTCTTTCATTTGAGGAAAATCTGAAAATTAAGCATAAATTTTTCAGAGTAATTATCCATTGGCACAATTTACCAAGGGTCATGGTCAATTCTCCAGCCCTGACCATTTTTTAAATCAAGATCAGATGTTTTAGTAAAAGATATGTTCTAGGAATTATATTGAAGAAGTTCTAGGGCCTGTTTTGTTTGGGAGGTCAGACTAGATGATCAAAATGATCCCTTCTGGCCTTGGAATCTGAATCTATGGGGGAAAAAATCACTACATAAAACAGCAAGCACACCCCTCGCTTCATAGTAATAAATATAAATCTAGTCATTTTGTTCCATTTAGTAATCTGGGAAAGCAAGAGGGAAGATCTTATGTATGTTGGAAAATAAAGTTAACACTAATTACAAACATCAGTGCAGAACTTAATGGTGGAGTGTCCACTGAGTTAAATGTCCAACAGCACTGTGGGGGACAAATTAGTTTACATTTTGCCATTGCATAGATTTTAATAATGAATCTTACATTTTACGATACATAACATTCACCTGAAGATAGTGAAGCACTTTATAAACTTAAACCTCGGCCTAGAGTGAAGTAAGTCTCATACCCAATTTACAGTTAGGCAAAGTGTGACATGCACATTTAGAGGAGCCTAGGTAAGTTACTGAGAAGGGGGAGGGCAGAACTGGAATGAGAACAGGACTCAAGACTCCTAGGCCCTGGTCCCTGAGCCTAACAGGGGTGTTACCCTAGAAGTTTAGACACCAATTAAATTACCTACAAATTTCTCTAACAAAGGGTAAGCAAGGTTGTGGCCCTAAAGGAATTGCTAGGGTTTTCCCCAGGGGGCTTGTCTCTGACCTGCAGAGGGCTCCCCAGAGCAAGCTAGTCTTGTTGACCCCTGAAAGGACACCCATACCTAGGGACAGCAAATGTGAAAAATCGGGACGGGGTGGGGAGTAATAGGAGCCTATACAAGAAAAAGACCCCAAAATCAGGACTGTGCCTATAAAATCAGGACATCTGGTCACCCTACACATATCACCTTCTGCTCAAGGATTAACACACAAGCAGAAATTCTTCAAAAACAAATATTAAAAAAACCCTAAGAAGTT